TATAAGCACTTGGAAAGAATCAATCCGAATCCTCAGCTTAAAATATTTTGCATCTTTTAAAGCGGAAGTAAATAGGCAAAAATCTCAAAAGGGACACTTTCCTCGAACAGTCCGTGTACATTCAAGAAGTACTTGCCATTATAAGCCTCCAAAACTGAGCTGGTGACCATTATATTTTGGTCTTCAAACTTCTACGTACATGAACCTGTCCCTTCCAATTAATTAATATGGTGGATCCAAGAGACAATGTTTGCAGTTCTTCAATCATTCTGCGGTAGAAGTTTTGTTATAACAAGGAAATCAAAGGGGAAAAAAAGAATCAATCAAAGAAAGGGAAAAATGAATCTAAGGATGACAGGAATAATATCTGTTTTTTTTTTAATATATTTTTGAAAAAATTCAAAAAAAAATAATTTTAATTTATTTTAAATTAATATTTTTTTATATTTTCAAAGTATTTTGATATGAAAATATTAAAAATAATTTTTTAAAAATAAAAAAAATATTTTAATACATTTTAAAAAACAACCTTCCATCTCAAATGATTAAAGGGTTGAATCATAAATGCGATGCAAGCACCTGAATTTTCTGCAGCAATTTCTCTGCCATAATTTTCTGCTGAATTCCACTTAAAGTCTCCGAATTCATGATTGCATTGGCAACAATAATTACTATTGATGGAGAATTAGCATTCACCTATACTCGTAAACGAAAAGATAAGGGTTTATCATTAGAATTTGATCTCTTCTACAAAAGCAAAACGGAGCAGTCTTAAAGTGGTATATCAATGCAAACATGCTTAAAGCAGAGAAGATGAGACGACTATGAAACAAAAGAATGAAAGGAAAACAAAAAAAAAGGAAATAAATATAGTAACACTGCTCAAAAAATCATACCCAAACACGGCCATTTAAGCCGACTGCTATCTCAAAGGAGAGCTTCTTGCCAAGAGCCTCAAGAACCGGACATGTTGGTGAGCTCAACAGCCTAAACACGAAAAAAAACATATCCATCATGAAACATAAATACGGAAGCTAGCTAAGTAATTTCGTTATGCAGTGAAAATCTTAAGGCAGTGGCTTCAGTCTATTAAAAGTTACAAGGGGAGATGCCTCACATTCTTGATAGACCAGTTGAACATTCAAACATGTAGCCATCTTTGAGGGCACCAAATTCTGCTGCCTTCCCACTGGCTATGAAACAAAAACAAAATTTTAAGAAAGCTCAAGAAATAGTTTGCAATAATTTACAAAACAAACCAAACAGTAATATGACACAATTACAAGCATGCTGATTAACCAACCATCAGTGCATGACAACTCAGGACTCATTCCAGGATTTGCCTTCACAACTCGAACATAGAGCAGGGTACCTGCCTGCTCCGAGCAGCATTGGTAAAACGAAACATTAGCAGTGTAATTTCAGTTTGAAGAGTTCAACCACGGTTTTTTGTTCATTTATGAATGTTAAGAGAAAGAAATAATCAAGACTGGGTGCCAAGCCAAAAGGCAGACACTGTTAAGGTAGTTGCAAGACTTTGTGATTTCTGATGGTGAATTCTTAAATTGGTAAAATACTAGCCTCATTATGATATATATTTCCACAGGTGTCATCTCAAAATGCAGCAAATAAAGTTTCTTCATGATTAATTTCACTTTTACAGAATCCTGATATTTCTAGTTTTCCACAATGGCAAGCAAAATTTGGGCTGCCGTCCATGCAATTAAAATAAGATGGGATTATAAACTCAAACTTTTGATTTTTTGAAAAGATATCGTAGTTCCAAACTATTTGATATGATTTCCTTGCACACGAGAAACTAAGGCATAGACCAAGTAAACAATGCCACTAATGGAAATATGACTTCATGAGTATGAACCTCAAATTTGGGTATGTTTCTCCTGGTCCCTCCTTCAAATGCAAGCACAGGCAAAAAAGCCAAGGCAGGTCCTTTCATGTCGATAAGAAAGTTCTGCAAATTAAAAGTTAAGGCAAGCATTTGGATGTAATAATATTTTATAAAGCAAGATGGATGAAAAACACTAGAATTTAATTAAGGAGAACGCATACACCAACTGTGAGAAGGACATGGGAAGCGTACAGAACAAGCATTTAACATAATAGATGGAAAGAAGAAATAAATAGAACAAGTATAAGCACTCATGGCTCGTAAGCAAAACCATTGCAATGTTTTAAAGACATTACATGAAGCACACAAATCAGGAAAATGTACATGCTGAAGCATTTAGTAATATCCTTCACTACCATGAATTCCAAATAGCCAGTCACCATTCTACAGTTACTGATCACAGAGAATAGTGTAAGAAAGAAGATAGACTAGATCAGATCTTTCCTATCCATGCTTCCTTATGTCTTCCAAGCTAATTAAGAAAATCAACAGATTATTTTGATTTAAGCCACAATTTGGTTCGGTCAATTTTGCTCATTAAAGAGGTCAACTTGTGTTTGACCAATATCTCCTGCATCACATATTAGACCTAACCAAAACTGGCAACTCGACCTGTGAACCTGTAAATACTTCTATTGTGATAAACCATGGTCTTGCTTTCTATCCGGATCATATTCCAATTACTAACAAAAGGTATTAAAGGTAGGCAGGGAAGTTGATCTATCTAGCTCATATTGGACCTGACATATCATATGCAGTTATTGTTGTGTTCAATTCATGCATAATCTAAATAACCAACACATGATTGCAGTGAATCGTATCTTGGCTTACCTGAAATCCTCTCTAGGTAAAGGTGTTATGTTCTCTCAACATAACCACCTGGATATTGTGGGATATACTAGATCCAAATTAAATACAAAATCTAGCTTTGGATATGTGTCATTTGTTGGGTGTAACATTCTAACTTGGAGTAAAAAATAGAATGTGGTATCACTATCCAATGCAGAAGCAAAGTACCTTGAGTTCCATCATGCAATTACAAAGCTTACTTGGCTCAAAATTAATTCTCTTGGGTGAACTTACCAGTGGTGGTCTTTTGTGACAACACAGCGGCTACTGAGATTGCTAACAAACTGATTTAACATAATCGAATCAAGCATGTTGAACTTGACATGAACTACATCAAAGGCAATCTCGACTCTGGTGTGGTTGAGATTTCTTCTATTAAAAGTGAATCAGTTGGCTGATATAATGATTCATGTTGTTACTAGTGATACTTTCAATAGTTCGCCATCCAAGTTGGGTATGTGTTATATAAATGCCCCAACTTGAGGGGGAGAGATAAAAAAATATTAGGTGTATACAACTATCAATTAGTTAGCTGATTTTTAACCTAACTTTTAGCTCCCAGATTGTAGCCTATTCAATTGCATAGTTGACTTAGCTAAATGATTGATATATATCTTGTATATATACTCTTTAGTGATATGAACAAAAACTACCCAGCCTAGCTCAATTCTTCATTTCATGTCAATAATAAAACTTAAATTTTCCAGGTCTTCCCAATTTAACCTATTTCTTTTTGGAGGGAAAAAATATTGAGATGGATTATTTCATAAAGCTAAAGCAGAAAGAAAGTTACGGCAATCATCAAGTGATTAATAGCATCAAGCTCACAACATAGCTCATATTTAAAGTGCTTACATCTGATTTAGAGTCTACAACAATTCCAAGTATACTGTCCTCCGCACACGGAACATACTGTACAAAAAATCAAATAAATCATCATACACAAGATAATGAACATCAACCACAAAAAATATTTAAAGTCATGTGTGAGATAAAACAGATATAGTTCCTACCTGAAATCACTTGCATAATAATACCATTCATTGGATGAAGGGATCTCATTGTGGATCCCATCCACTGAATGAATGAAATTTTCACAGGGATTTAGGGACGAAACTTTCCGTGATCTTGGCATACTTCACTAATGTGCAAATTACAAATTTTCTATAAAATCACGTTGAGATTGGCAACTAAAAGAGAATAATAGCAGCAGCAGCAGCGCTTCCCATACAAGATCACACAAAATACTAACTCAATCACAAAGAAGTATTATATTATTAAAATTTTGAGCAATCTGCTAGATTATCCACTGTTGGCATCAGTGCATAAACTATAATACAAGATAGCTAACAAATTAAAAAAAAAAATCCAACATTAAAACTGTTCATTCCTCATAGAAAATAATGAAATGCCTTTCAAATCCCACCTTTATTTTCTCCAAACAATTCAAAAATATTTAACACAAATCAACACTCCCATTTAGCTCGTTACTGCGGTCCCTTTCAAATTGTTAAGTAATTTTAAACAAATTTAAAGCATATGCCCATAATATTATGAAAAACAAAAGTCACAGCTTGCCACATCACCAACTAATAGGCAATCAGTAAGTAAGCAAGCATACCCTCTTTTGGGAGGTTTCAACCCAATATTTATTTGGCTTTGAGAACCTCAATTTCCCTGCTTTCATTACAGATATAGCATCACAGTCCTGTTAAATTAAAGACACCAAAACTCAAACCAAATTTTGAAAAAAGAAACAAACTTTGCAGACCAAGAAATTCAAAAGTTTTTTTTTTTAAAAAAAAAAAAACCTAAAAGATAGACCTGACGGAGCCCACCACCAAGCTTAATTGTCTGGTTAGTCATGCTAGAAAGATCAACAACCACATCTCCTGGTACCTACAATTTGACAGAGAGAGAGAGAGAGAGAGTTTGAGTCTTATAACTGTACGAATTGGAAATTAAATCTGTAAGTGTATAGAAGAATATGAAAACCTACCACTAAGTTATCAATAAAGGTCGCCGGCGAACCGGAGGATTTACTCTCCATATTTATCGGCGATAGATACTTCTCTGTGCGTTCTTCGCTGAGGAGGGAATTTAGGGAAGCGGGAATTTATATACTATTCTTAAAACGCACCGTTTATGATAAATATCTGACAAGGGCGGTCTTGAAACATTCCCCAAACGACTTGTCGTTTTTACTCTATCCCTAAAACTTAACGTAAGAAAAAAGGAAGAGAAGATACTTACCAAAAAAAAAAAAAAAAGGAAGAGAAGATAGGTGTTATGAATATGATGTCGGAGATGGTAGTCTGGAAACTGAAAACGACATCACTTGATTGAGCTAGTTCCAAAGAGCAAATGGAAATTGTACGGTCACACTGGCTTCCGTTGAATGGTCATTGCTTGAGTCACAAACTTGTGTCAGTTCCGAACAAGGTAACTCTCAGAAATCTTGAAAAGACAACTTTAATTTCTTGCAGCTTACAAAATAATGCTACTTCAATTCGGTTGGCTGAAAACCCATCTGAGAAATCAATTTATTCACGTGGGTTTTTGACCAGGAAATCTGTTATGGATGTTTCAAAGGTTAATAGGATGATTAAGGAGTGTACAGAAGATGGGTTTTTCGAGGATGCAATTAGAGTGTATCTTGATTTCATTGAATGTGGTTTTCCAGTTGAGGAATTCAGGTTCTTTCCTTGTTTGATTAAAGCGTTTGGTGGGCTTTATGATGTTAATAAAGGGAAACAAATTCATGGGCATTTGTTGAAGTTTGGGTTTTTACAAGACATTTTTGTTAAGAATTCTCTTTTGGGTATGTATTGGAAATGTGGGGCTGGTGGGAATGCGGTTGACATGTTTGAGAGGATGGAGGAGAGAGATTCAGTTTCGTGGAATACAATGATATCTGGGTTTTGTCAATCAGGAGAGTATGTGAAATCGTTGGTGATGTTTAGAAGGATGGTTAAGGAATGTGGTGGTTCATATCATAACCGGGTGGCATGTCTTGCTGCTCTTTCATCGTGCGCTTCAATTAAGTGTTTGACTCATGGGCTAGAGATTCATGGGTTCCTTGTGAAAAAAGGGGTGGATTCTGATGAGTTCTTGGTGAGTGCGTTGATTGAAATGTACATGAAATGTGGAGATATAAAGAATGCTGAAAATGTTTTTGAGAGAATTCGGGATAATGAGTTGGTGGGAAGGAATATGGCGGTATGGAATGTGATGATCTTGGGGTATGTTTCAAATGAATGTCTTTCATTGGCTTTGGAATTGTTTGTTGAGATGTTAGAATTAGGGATTAGCCCAGATTCCTCAACTGTCGTGGTTGTTTTAGTTTTGTGCTCCAAATTGCTGGATTTAGCTGTTGGAAAGCAAGTCCATGGACTCATTCTGGGTCTTGGCCTGGATGATGATGTAAGAGTTGGAACAGCTCTTATGGAGATGTATTTTAAATGTGGTGATCCTGAAACCAGTTTGCAAATATTCAAAAAGTCTCAAAATCGTAACTTAGTCATGTGGGGTTCAGTGATGTTGAATTGTGCTCAGAATGGTTACCCAAATGAAGCATTGGAATTTTTCAGTGAGTTTATGTTGGATTGTGGTTTTCCAGATCCTGTCATTCTTTTGGCTGCACTCCGGGCATGTTCATTCTTATCTCTTAAGCCTAGAGGGATGGCAATTCATGGATTTGCTATAAAGATGGGGTTTGATTCTGATGTTTTTGTTGGCGGTGCCCTAGTTGATCTCTATGGAAAATGTGGAGACATGGAGTATGCTCAACAAGTTTTTTATGGATTATCAACCAGAGATCTGGTATCATGGAATGCGCTAATATCTGGATTTGCTCAAAATAAGTGTGCAGATGAAGCTTTGAAGGCATTTCGTGATATGCAATCTAAACAAATCAAGCCCAATACTGTAACCATGGCATGTATTCTTTCTGTTTGCACTCACTTGTCAGTCATGATCCTTTGTAAGGAGGTTCACTGCTACCTACTACGGCATTGGTTTGAGACCAATGCTCTTGTAAACAACTCTCTAATAAGTGCCTATGCCAAATGCGGGGACATACATGGCTCACGGACTGTATTTGAAAAATTGCCTGTACGAAATGAAGTTACGTGGAATTCAATCCTACTGGGTTTTGGAATGCATGGCCATACTGATGAAATGTTTGCAACATTTGAAAAGATGAAAGAAGCAAACATAAAGCCTGACCATGGAACTTTTACTTCCCTCCTTTCCAGCTGCAGCCATTCTGGGAAGGTTGACGCGGGATGGAAATATTTCAATAGCATGATGGAAGACTATAACCTTGAACCACGAGTTGAACAATATACTTGCATGGTTGATCTTCTGGGCCGAGCTGGCAATCTAAATCAGGCATATGATCTGATAATGTCAATGCCTTGTTCCCCAGATGATACAATATGGGGTTCCCTTCTGGCATCCTGCAAAAATCATGGTAACACAAAGTTGGCAGAAGTTGTGGCAAATCACATATTTGAACTTGATGCTTCAAGTGTTGGTTACCGTGTACTCCTTGCAAATCTGTATGAAGATTATGGAAATTTGAATGAAGTTTTTCGAGTTCGAACTGAAATTAAACAAATGGGACTGGAAAAGCAGCCTGGATGCAGTTGGATTGAAGTTGATAACAGTATACATATATTTGTTGCTGGTGATTACTCACATGATCGGTCTGGGGATATCTATGCTACCATAGAAAGTTTATCACTAGAAATGAAAAGAGTGGGGCATGTTCCTCACATTCAAGCAGCAAGCAACAAGTACTGGGCTTGATGAGTCAAAGGATAGAATTGTTTTGATAAGAAGAAAGGATTCTGTCTTCGGGGGTAACCTTGTAAGGAGAAACGAGAAAGAAAACTATTTGAATTATGTTCAATCAATAGTTGTCAATGCCAAGCTGCATGGATGGTATTGGAAAGCAAGGTAGCTGGCATTTATCAAGTGACTGATATTTGAAATGATTTATTGGAACCACGTAGATGCCAACCGATTAGTTTTTCCTCCCTGAAACTAATCAGGTATGTTTCTGTACGACTATCTGATATTTTTCTTTACTCTAGATTGGTCATTTTTGTTCATTAATGCTGTCAAATTATTTTTATCTTCTAAGCATCAACATGTCTTCTCATTTTCAGGAAAACTTATCTGAGGTGAATTGGGCAATTTGATGGTAAACAGAAGGTGAAAAGTTTATTCCTGAAATGCCAGTCGAGAGCTTTCCTTGAAATCTTGAATGCAAGTCATGTATAATGCCTTCACTTGAAATTTTGGAAATTGAGCTGAAGTATGTGAGCCTGGTGAGGCCGAGGATGGCCTTGTTTTTCTGACAGGAATGGTTTCTGTTTGTGGGTCTAACCTTGTAAGTGGCAAAACAAAAAGGAAAATTCACTAGTTGAAAGTAATGAGCCAATGCTTATTCAACGCCAGATGTATGGGGTGATATTGGAACGAAAGGAAGCAGGCATTGATTGAGTAATTGAGATTTGAGATAATTCTCAGTGTTGTGCAGGTGCCAATTAAATGGTTTTTTTCCCTGCAACTAACCTTTTTTTTTGTTTCACAGGGAGTGGTTGTTGAAAATTATTTTTAAAATTTTTTTGTGTTTATTTATTATTAAAAAAAATTAGTTAACAGAAAATATTTTTCAAATAAAGAAAAATTTAATTTATTTTTTAAAAAAATATTTTTCTAAAAAATTTGGATGAAAAATACTTTTCAAAAATTATAAAAAAATTTAGAAATGTTATATTATTTATTGATTATATTAAATTTGATTTTTAAATTTTTTATTACTATATATATTTTATTTTAAATATTTATTTTTCAATTTTATCTTTTAAAATTTAATTTTTATATTAACTTTAGTCTTTATTTTTGTAATTGCTATTTGCTTTTCTCTTATATTTTTTTATTGAAATTATTTATCTATTAAATTTGAACCTTATTATTTTGATTATTATTTATTTAATTTGAAATAATTTATGAAATGTTAATTATTATTATTTTAATTTTTTCATCTTTTATTTTTTTATTTTTTAGTTTTGATTTCTATTATTTTAATTATTATTTATTTTATTTGAGATCATTTATGAAATTATATTTTTTTTAATTTTATTTTCATTCAACTTTTTAATTTGTAAGATTTGTTTTTTATTATTTTAAAAAAGTTAAGAAAAATAAATTATTAATAAATTATTTTTCAACTTATTTTTTATAATATTACTAAATACTAAAAAATATTTTTTAATTTATTTTTTATTATATTTAAATATAAAAAAATAATTAATTTTTTAAAAATTTATTTTTTAAAAAATACTATATTTTTCAGTAAACAAACAGACATAGTAGGTTTGCGTCCGACTACTTGATGTTTCCTCATACTTCAGATTGGTCGCTTTCGCCTCATTAAAATGCTGTCAAATTAGATGTCTTTCTTAAGCAGTTAACATGCCTTTTCATCTCTGGCAAACTCAGCTGAGATGAAATTGAACGATTTGCTGGTAAAAGAAAAGTTGAAAGGCATATTCCTGATGGGGTCCCTTGAGAGCTCTTCTTAAAATCCTGGAGGAAGACTGGTCATGTTTAATGCTTTTACTTGAAATCTTGGAAACTGAGCTGAAGCAAGTGGGATCTTAAGATCAGCCAGCCCTAGATTTGAGAGTGTTTAATTTCTTTGATGGTATTGCATGATCGGAGTCTCATCTCATCACCTTCTATTGTCAAGAACTCACCAGCCTAGTTGGGCCAATTGAAGAGGTATCTGATCCCATCCTCGTTGAAAAATTCACTAGACTTGTGGGGTGATACGTTCTGGGTCCGTGTTGCACTGCATGCATTTTTTCCCCGTAAAAACAATGTTTAAGGGATGCAATTATGTTTTTTTAAAATAAAAATAACAACTCGCACTATAGTTTTAATTGGGTTAATAAGTTAATTTTTTTAATTAAATAATAAAAAAATTAAAAAAAATAGAGAACTGATAAAATTTAATTAAAAAAAATTAATGATAACTTGGAAAAAAAATATTTGAAAGTACAAAATTGAATTAAAAAAATAGTTTGATGTAGGGGTGAGCAAAAAAACCGAAAAATGGATTTAACAGAAAAAATCAAAAAAATTAACCAAAAAAACCAAACCAGTAAAAAAAATCGATTAAACCTATTAAAATATTTAAAAAAATTATTTGGTTTGGTTCGGTTTTCAGTTTTTGTGTGCCTGAATCAACCAACCCGAACCAAATTGAATCTGTTCGATTTAGAAATTACAAAAAAAAAAAAAGCCAAGGGCCGCCTCCTCCCTCTCATTAGTCATTAGGTATTAACAATTAACCCTAGCACAAACCATTTTTTATTTATTTCAGTTTTAGTTTCACACAACTATCCTCTCCTCCCTCATTAACCCTTTCATCCATGGTGATACAACCGCTGCCCTCACCCCCTCCCATTAACAGACGCCCCCTCCCTCGAAAAGTTTAGAGATACAGACAATGTCTAAAAATAAACCAAGTCATTTCCTCTCTTTCCCCCAAAACTCTAATTTGAAAGTTAAAATCCTACTAAGATTAAAACTTTCGGTTCAATTTCAGAGATTAATTTTTTATGGGGTTAAGGATTTTGATGAAAAGACTAAAGTAGTGGTGGATTTTGGTGGTGGAGAAGGTGAGGGTGGAGGGGGGGATGATGGTGATAATGATCGAAAAATGAAGAAAAAAGATGGGATTTTGCCAAAATGGTTAAATTTCATTGTTGATGATGTAAAGATTGTGTTTGTTGCTGTTGTTGTTTCCATTACATTTTATTTTTTTGTAGTAGAGCCAAGATTCATTCCTTCTTTGTCCATGTATCCAACATTTAATGTTGACAATCATGTTTTTCAGATAAGATAACAATTAACATGACTTCCTTTCCTTCTCTTTCTTTTCTTTTATGATGTTAATTTATGATGTTAAGGAGGTTTTGTGGGAGTAAATTTGATAATGAACTGAAACAAATTTTAGTCACAGAGAAAAAAAACTATAGGTTTTTTCAGTTTTGAATTTAAAAAATCAAACCCAAACTGGTCAGTTTGGACCGATTCCTATTCGGTTTGGGTTCCTTCTTTTTTTTTTATTGGTTTGGTTGTTTTTTAAAGATAAAAACCAAACTGAACTGAAAATAATCATCTCTAATTTGATGTAGCTTAATAAATATGTAATCTAAGTAATAAGAGGTAAGTCAATTCAAATTTACTTGCAAAACTCATAATTTATGTTATGATATCAAAATGACTTGATATAAAAGAAATTAAAAAAAATTATAAAATTAATTTTTATTTAAAAAAATCAAAAGATAAAATCATTAAAAAAAAGATATTGACTAGTGTTAACTTTTTAAACTCGTGACTCAGATCATTAAAATGAAGACATCAAACATAAAAAACCACAAAACACAATCAATCTCTAATAAATTAAATATTGAATTGAATAATAAAATTGAGAATCAAATCGATTATATAAAGGATCCTTAGAAATAGTAATTAAAACAATAAAAATTAAAATTAATCAAATCGATTATATAAAGGATCCTTACAGTAATTAAAACAATAAAAATTAAAATAAAATAAAATAATAATTAAAAGATTAAGAATAAAAATCAAAATAAAAAATAAATTAGAGGATAATAAAAAAAAAATTAATAGAATAATGAAATTGAAAAGAAAAAAATTATAAAAAATATATATTATAAATTTGAATTGAAAGATAAAATTAAATAATTAAATATAATGATTAAGGGGAAAAAAAAAGTGCATACTCTAACTATCGTCGATTATGATGGATGGAACGTTACAAATAAAGAAAAAATAATAGAATTTACTATTATCCAAGATTTAAACGTAATAAACAACAAAATGCACAAAAAATTAATAAATAAATATGAAAATGAAAATCAAGAAGACAACCGAATCCAGCCTGCAGTTGTTTCGAAGTATGAATATATGAGAACAACAAGAACCTATGCCTTTCTTGTTTTCTTCTTTTCCTTCTTGAATCAACTCCTATAACACATTGTGTTCCATTTTAATAAATACAGCCACACATGTAGCATCTTTACAATACCTAAATGCCATGAGAGTTGTCATCAAGGAGGTTCTCCAGTGACCTGGCTTTTCTGCTCCGAACCCTGCCGGCTTCTTTCAATAGCTCGGCCAGCCTTTTTTTCTCATCAACAACATCTGGATTTGCTGTCCCGAGCTTTTCCTCCCTCATCCCAACAACATACTCCAAGATTTCAATTGCATCGTCCAACCTGCGTCAAACATTACAGAGCACCTCAACTCAGCTTCAAGTAGAACTTGTTATGTGGAAGAAAACTGCACGCGAGCACGTTCAGGCTAACACATCTATATTTTACAAATTAAATAAATCTAGAGAAGAAAAGGCATCCCATCCATTTGGTAACTATACCACCTAACAACATCAAATCGTTAAATGAGCAACATTGATGACTTGACTAGAAATTAAAATGGCATTAAGCCTCTGACAGATGCAAACGAGGATGGCATGGAGAAAAGGCACAAGAAATGGTAAAAGGTGCATACCTGCCCATTGCATCATAAATGCCTGCAAGATTGCTATATACCCCAAGAGTGTCAGGGTGATATGGTCCACACTCTTGTTCCAGAACAATCTTGGCTTCCTCAAACAATTCTGCAGCCTCATTTATAGCATTGCGCCGCACACAGGCCAGACCCATTTGGTTGAGAGCAATGCCAAAGAAAGCAGATTTCTTCTCCCCGCTTGAACGGAGCTTTGAAATTGCGTTCTTAAAGGAGTTGTAAGATTCAGAATAATCCCCCAGCAGGTAGTACATGACACCCATTTGAGCTTCAATTCCAGCAATTGTGCTTTGTTGACCAGGTGCATCTTTATATATCTTTAACGCCTTCTTTAGCAACTTGATTGCCTGATCGAGCTCATTCATTGATTCATAGACAGCAGAAACATCAGTGAGGCCACTAGCGATCTCCTCTGGAGGGATCCCTATCAAGGGCTTTTCATAAATCCCAAGGGCATTCTCACAGTATGATTTTGAGTCCCTCAACTTCCCAGTTCTGTTAAATAAATCAGCCAAACGAACAAAAACTGAAGCAACAGATGGATGATTCTCTCCTTTTGTTGTCTTAAAAGCTGTGAGTGCTTTTTGATAAGCAAAAATAGCCTCATCATACCTAGACAAAGATAAGTAAGCATCTCCGATGCTACAATCAACACGGGCCACCTCAGCTTCCTGGCCATGTGCCACCATGGCCATACTGGCTAACACAAGATGTTCAAGAGCAGCTTCATGATCTCCCTTTGTTTCACATATAAGACCCATAAGCCGTCGATCCACTGCCTCTTCAAGAGACGCAGGAGAACCGTTGTCTCGATGAATGTCTAGAGCCATCTGGCAAACCTTCTGCGCATCCTCAAACTGCAATGCTTGAACATGGGCCTCAGCCAAATATCTACAAGTCTCGC